TAGCAGTTTTCTTCTGGATTTGCCCTGAGTCCATGTGTATTAGTGTTCCTGGGCTGCTGTAAAAAAATTCCCAAACATTTGGTGACTTAAAACCACAGAAATGTTTTAGCTCATAGTTCTTCAGGCCAGAAGTCCAGAATTACTTTCAACGGGCCATGATCATGGTTTCCACAGGCCAGGTTCCTCCAGAGGCTCTAGAGAGACTTTATTTCTTGCCACTTTCAGCTTCCGGTGTCTTCAGCTTTCCTTGGCTGGTGGCCAAATCATTCCAATCTCTATCTCTTTGTTCACATTGCTTTCTACCGTTGAGTCTGTATTAAGTCTCTCTCTACCTTGCTTTTCTGAAAACGCCTGTGATTCAAGAGCAGAAAATCAAACACCGAATGTTCTCACTCATAGGCGGGTGTTGAACAATGAGAACACATGGACACAGGGAGGGGAGCACTACACACTGGGGTCCGTTGGGGGGAAATAGGGGAGGGACAGCAGGGGGTGGGGAGTTGGGGAGAGATAGCATGGGGAGAAATGCCAGATATAGGTGAAGGGAAGGAAAGCAGCAAATCACACTGCCACGTGTGTACCTATGCAACAATCTTGCATGTTCTTCACATGTACCCCAAAACCTAAAATGCAATAAAAAAAGAAAAAAAATGCCTGTGATTGCCTTAAATGCTGGATAATCTCCCCGTTTCTAGATTATTAATTGTCATGTACAAAGGCTCTTTTCCCATATAAGGAACATGCATACACTTCATAGAATAGAAGCAGATAATCTGGGGATTACACTCGGTACTAAGCCTTTTAGAACTAACTCTCAGTGTTGGTACAGACACATGTCATACTCTGTGCTCTCTCTCCCTCTTTCTTTCTATCACCCCTGCCCTTTCCATGAAATAAAAATCTTACAAATAGGAAAAAAAGAAGTCAAACTATCTCCATTTGCTGATAATATGATTCCATACCTAGAAAATTATAAAGATTCTGCCAAAAAGCTCCTGAAATTGATAAACAACTTAAGTGAATTTTGATGGCAGTGGTGGCCTGTCTGGGGTGGCCACTGCCAAAACGCTGGCTACAGTGGAGGAGGTGTGGCCAGAGCTGCATGCTCCAGGGAGCCAATGGGAGCCAGGAACAGGTGAGAGCTCCTAACCAGCTCTGAGTTGGAGAGGTGGGAGCCCCACCCTTCCAGGAGGAACTGCAGCCCCCAACTTGCAGCTGTGGACCAGGCATTCTTGTGTTCTCCAGAGTTCAGGAATTCCCCTTTCCCCTACAGGCCCAGAAGTGCCTGTTTTGGCTGCCTGGCCTCCCTACACTTCTGGTACCTACTCTGATTTCAGAGCAAAGTTGAGGCAGAGCCTGGGCACTGTCATGACCCAGCCAGCTGTGTGTGAGCTCGGGACAGCACTGACATGCCAGCCCCCTGCTGCCTTGGCCCCCTCCAGACTTTGGGTGCCAGCAAGCATGGGACAGAGGCAGATTTGGGGCTGAGGGAAGCTCCACATGGGCCTGGAGGTAACCCTCAGCATGAACAGCCTGGACTTTGTGGATGACATGTAGGTGGTAGCAGGAGGCAGACAGGGTCCTGAGCAGAAAGGGGCAGGTCCCCAGTGAAGGCCTACCTTCAAGCCACAGACAGCCTCTGGGGCTTAGGCTGTCAATTCCTTGGACCAGAGTGAGAACTTATGGTGCTTTGTCCAGGCCCACCCATAGCAGCCCATGAACTGCTCAGCACACACTTCCTCCTTTCGGAAGCTTATAAAAATCCCATATTCAGCCAGACTCCGGCAGATGATGGGATGACTTGCCTGTGTGGCCATCTGCTTCAGGTTTCCTCTCTGCTGAGAATTGCACTCATTGGGTCAACCTGCCTGCAGAAAAGAGCTACCCACTTCGGGTACCTTGAGAGCTGCACTATTGCTCAATAAAGTGCCTCTTCATCTCACTCATCCTCCAGTTGTCTGCATATCTCATTCTTCCTGGATGCGGGACAAGAACTTGGGACCTGCCAAATGGAGAGACTGAAAGAGCTGTAACACAAATAGGGCTGAAACACACACCTGTCTAACTCACCACATTGTAGGTAACAAGAAGAGAGAAGAGCTGCAGTCCTTCAGAGAGCCCCAGACCCAGGAGCTCCCTGCATATTTATACAGAAATAGATATAACCATTGGTATAAGGTATGATTTCAAAATTGATAAATTTCGGATGAACATTTAAAACTGCAACAGCACACCATAAACGTGGTCCCTTCCTGACTTCTGAGGGTGAGAAAGCTCAGGACTCTTCCCTATGTCCCTATTGATGAAGACAGACAGCCTTCCATTACTGTGGACTATGAGTGACCCAAGGGGTTTTTGGGGAACACAATCAGCAGGTGGCTGGGAGATGGGCAGTGGGTCTGGGCCCTGAGTGGAGAAAAGTTTTGTTTCCAGATCTCTGACTGGACAGTTCCTCTCCCTTGGGGTCTCTTCTCAGACACAGAAGCACAGGAGACTCAGTGCCTGCGTAGTCAGGACAAAACCCTTCCACAACCAATTGGCAGCTTATCCTCTGACTGGAGTGATGTGGGCTCTCTCTGCCTAGCTTTTCAGAGGTGCAGGTAGCTGTTGGCACCCTGTTCACAATGGGACACCATGAAGGCAACTCGGCTGCTAATGGCCTAAGTGAAGTCTGTCCAAGCCCATCACCCCTGACCCAACAGGCGTTATGTACAGTGAGCAACAGTAGCCAGCAGGAGCTCAGAGCCACGTGTGGTTTCTGCTGGTGCCAGGCTAGGACACTGTTGAGACTATGTCTAGCCCTGCAGGTGACAGTGGCCCTCTCTACTAGTACACAGGGAGAGGGGCTAGAGATTGTGTCCATACAACACCCCAACTGGCATCTATGTGCGAAAAAACATGAACATACCAAATATTAATACTAAGCAAGTAGTTTCCTCAGTTTGGTTAAATTCTTTTCAGAAAGCAAAAGAAGCTAATTACCTGATTGTCAAGGAAACATTCATGTTTATTGAAAATAAACTGAAGATGAAGCCTGAACCCTCCTTTCTTCCTCAAGAGAGTCAGAATAGCAAGAGGAGGAGGAGCAAAGCTGGGTCCCCACATCCATGAGATGCTTCTTGATGCTGATCTTGTTCAGAAAGGGTGAGGACCGTGAATGAGTCTTCTTGCACTGTGACATCAAAATACTCTGGGTGGATGGCTTGAATCACAGATGTTTATTTTCACATTTCTGGTGGCTAGAAAGTCAGAGATCAAGGTCCACCAGGGTTCACTTTCTGGTAAAGACCTTCTTCCTGGCTCGTAGATGCTACCTTCTCACCATGCTTTCACGTGGCCTTTCCATAGAGGTGCAGCTGTTAGAGAGGAAAAAGAGATCTCTCTGGATCTTATAAGAACCACTAATCTGAATGAATCAGGGCCTCACCCTTATGACCTCAATTATCTTCTTAGTGGTTCTATCTCCTACAGCCACTGGGGAGTAGAGCTTCAACATTAGTCTGGGGACACAATTTAGACCCCAGCAGGAGGACACAGGTAAGGCAGTGGGGAGGGAAAGAATGTGCTTTCAGCCTCCGAGCACAGAGCAGTTTCCCTACAACTCAGCTCATGGCAGCTCCTCCCAGATGTTCCAGGTCAGACATGAGACACCGTTCTAGCTCCAGGGGCTTCCCGTTGATAATGGGACATGATCACTCTTACTTTCCCAGTGTTTCTAAGACTGTGGTGTTCTCTATTGTTTATTGTGGAGTGTGTTTGCTCCTAGAGACAGGTTGTTGACATAGCAATTTATGAGATTTTAAATTTTGTGTTAGTGAAAATTACTTAATAAATTTATCATAAATAATAAACTAAAATTAATATATTGTATGTGTAAAAAACATGAGGTTAGTTGAAGATCCTAAAAGGAGCCTGAGAGGATAAAAACCCATATTCTTTTCAGAAGAGGACAGTTAGAGTCATGCGACTGTTATTGAAAAGACATTTTAGTAAAAATTATCAAATGATAAATGATAAATTCAAATAGGCTGCCACAAACATAACTTTATATTCAAAAAATTATTTTCCGAAATAATTTTACATTTTCATATTAAAACAAACAAAAAACTGCCAGGTGTGGTGACTTATACCTGTAACCCCAACACTTTGGGAGGTCAAGGTGGGCAGATCACTTCAGATCTGGAGTTTGACACCACCCTGACCAACATGGTGAAACCCTGTCTCTACTAAAAATACAAAAATTAGCTGAGCATGGTGGTGAGCCCCTATAATCCCAGCTGCTCAGGACTCTGAGGCATGAGAATCACCTGAACCCAGGAGGTGGAGGTTGCAGTGAGCCGAGCCATGTCACTGCACTCCAGCCTGGGTGGCAGAGTGAGACTCCATCTCAAAACACAACAAAACAAAACAAAACAAAACAAAACAAAACAAAACAAAAACAAAAACAAAAAAAAAACAAACCAAAAAAAAAAACAAAAAAAAAAAACGATGTGGGGTTAGAAGCAGATCCACTCAATGGAAAAATTTCTCTGATGCGTGCTTAAAGCAAAAGAATATTTATCCTGATGGAAAAATCTAGTTTTTTTGGTCTTTAGAAGAAAACAGCTTTCTATTTGTTTCACCTCATGCTGCTGATGAATGGGCATGGGTGCAGTGAGGGTCAGGAAGAAGGAAAGCTGTGTGCTGAGGATGGTCATGCCTTCTGCTCATCTGAGTGACCTCACAGAGCAGAACCACCGACACAGAAACCTTGTCACAGTTAGTCTACCATATTTTGAGGCTTCTTTGTAACAACCTTAATCAGTACTCTGATTCTCCTTGATATCCCATTTTAGTTTTTGCAATCATTTATTTTTCACCTAATAGGGTCTTAACATGCAGAGCTGAAGTACCACTGAGGTTTTCATGAGCCAAAGTTCTCAGCTCAGCAGCAACCCCTGCCCTGTGGTCTCCAACAGCCTCCTCTTCTGCAGACTCAAGAGATCCTGCTGAGAAGCTCCTTAGACAAGCGGCACATGTGGACAGCTGGGCCACCTCAGGAGGGAGGTTTCTATTAAAGGCTGTACCACTGTGGGAGGAAGCTCTATACCTTGCATGCAGTAATAAACCCCAACATCCTCAGCCTCCACCCTGCTGATTTTCAGTGTAAAATCTGTGCCTGACCCACTGCCACTGAACCTGTCAGGGACCCCAGAAGCCCGGTTGGAGCCCAAATAGATCAAGAGCTGTGGAGACTGGCCTGGCTTCTGCAAGTACCAGTACAGATAGTTTTTTCCATCACTATACAGGAGGCTCTGACTAGACCTGCAGGAGATGGAGGCCGGCTCTCCAGGGGTGACGGGCAGGGAGAGTGGAGTCTGGGTCATCACAATATCCCCACTGGATCCTGAAATAATGAAAAGCAAAGTTATGTACAAACCCAATGAGCAATTTTCATAATTTATCTTACATCATTTATTTAAACTTAATTTTTAAAAATACTGACTTATACCATAAAAATACACATTCTAAAATGAAAAAGATTTTTGTAAAGCATAAGACCTTTACATTTTGAAGATCTAGTCAGAGCACCAGATGTTGTATACTTCATGAGACTTCTAATTATTCACAGAGCAAAATATCGAGTTCCCTTTTCTGCAGCACAGATCCTATTCCTCTAACGCAGGATTAGACTAAACGTGAGATGCTGTGAAGCCCTGGAGCTCACTCTCCCATCCCGCTCTCCTTCCTCATCTCCTTCTGTCCTTACCAGGGACCCAGAGCATTAGTAGCCCCAGGAGCTGAGCAGTGAGCCTCATCATGAGAATGTGAACTGAGGAGTCCTGATCAGTCAAGCCAAGGTTGGAGCTGAGCTTTTATCTCAGACTTGCTAAGAAAAGTCCTCCCTATGAGACAATATGCAAATTCTCTGGTGTATGCAGTGGTGTGGAAAGAGGCAAAGAAACCAGGGGGAGGGGATATGTCTCTCCTGTGAACAATGTGACATAAAATGGAAGGAAGGATCTGACTGTGACAGTTTGGATCTTGGGTAGGTCCCATTGTGCAGGACATGCAACTCTAGGAAAGCATAACAACCCTAACAGTGTAGAAATATGTGTCTAGAATGAACATAGGTGAATGCCATTCTTCTAGTACCCCTCCCAGCTAATCTAAAAAAAGGAAACATTACCCTTTCCTACAAGCACTGATAAGCAGAATGTCTACAAATAAAACATAGTCTTGAGTCAGTTCAAGAGTTGTCTGGTATCTTCTATTTCCAGGATAACTGTTCAAGAATGTTCATAGCAAGTGTTGGAATCTGCCCTCCCCTGGCGCCTGGTGTATGAGTCCCATAAGAGCATTCTGTCCAAGGACTTCATAGAGAAAATGATGTGGGTCTCTATGTTTAGATCCAACAGCCCAGTGTAAATAACCAGAAAGGAGGAAAAATTTTATTCCTCAGGCAGTGAATATAAAATTCCTGGAGACCAATTTTTCAATCTGGTATATATCCCATCATAATCTTCTCATCTCACATATATCAGATTAACCCAAAGAATTTATTAAAGGAAGACTTTTATAGGAAATAGAATGAACAAAGAATAACTTTGCATTATGTTTTTCTGAGTGGTATTAAGAAAAACTCTTCCCACAGTCTTCCTCATCATGTAAAATCAGGTCCTCTCAGGGCTTCCAGGTTCTTGTCAACTCTGAGTGATAACTGAGTGTCCCCTGTCCCTGTAAGTGGGGCAACCACAGCCATGAATCCACAATTTGAGTGGAAAATCTTTGTGTAAGAAGAGCAAGAAATAGATCCACAGCTTTGTTGTCTCATGGTCACCGTAATCCGTGACTGACATTTTCCTGAGTTTTCTTCTAAAGATGATCACAAATCAGAGATGTCAATGTACCACAAAGCTGATCATGAAAATAGGGAAACAATCCAACTATTTGTCAATGATCTCAAGATTGAGTTGGACAGCTCCTGAAAGATCATGCCTACATCAGATCCCTTCACAGGAACACTCACTGTCCTGGCGAGAAACATTTGGGAAGAATTGGCATAATAGTTTGCAGAGCTACGTAATCTCAGATAATTTAACCCAAAGCCATGCTTCACTGGTAAAAACACAAACAAATGCAGTTCTAAATGTGATCCAAGAAGAAAGCTTGATCTGTATGTGTTCTGGGAAATCTACCAAATTAAGACTTTTTAACAAGGTTGGAAAAAGCAGTTGAGTATAAAGGTGACACTGATCTTAAATGTTGAACTCCATGTCAGTGTTCTGGGTTGATGACCACAAATTATGGTGAGGAAGTAGACATACAGTAAAAGTCTTATGTTTCAGTATTTATCATGCTTATTATTTTACTTTATTTTGTAAGTTTTGTATATTTAACTTTTTTATCACATGATGCTGACCAATTCAATGCAGGTTATTCTCAAACTCCTAAACTCAAGCCATCCACCTGCCTCAGCTTTCCAATATATCTTTCTACATTTTTGCTTTACACCTGTACCACTTTGGATTTCAATTTTGGGCTTAATACTTCATGGTCTCAAGAGGGCTGCAGTGACTCTAATCATTATGCCAGTCGTAACTATCCCAGAAAAAAAGAGCAGGCCAAGGCACAGTGGCTCATGCCTTTAACATTAGCATTTTGGGAGGCCAAAGCAGGAGGATTGCTTGAGCCCAAGAGTCTGACCAGCCTGGGAAGCATAGCTGGGACCACGTATCTACTAAAATTAAAAATTAAAAAAATAGCCACATGTGGTGGTGAGCACTTGTAGTCTTCACACAGGAAGTTGAGGTGAGAGGATGGCTGGAGCCCAGGAATTTGAGTCTACAGTAAGCCATGATCACGCTACTGCACTCCATTCTGGCTCACATGGTGAGACTCTGCTCCTCCACCAAAAAAAAAAAAAAAAAAAAAAAAAAAAAAAATGCCAAGTAAAGCTCTCTTTGCCATCCTTGCCTATATTATATGGGATCAACATCATCCAAAACACTGTCTAATTTCCCCTTACTCCTCTGATATGTCATTCTGGAACTGATCACATGTGCCCCTTATTCCTGTTTCTGTTCTGGTCTGAGAGAGACTCACTGTCCTTGCTTGCCCAGCAGGAGACAGCTCCAGCCCTACACACCAAAGGAGGAGGGGGATAACTGCTGTGTAGGTGTTAAGAGCTTTGCCAAATCTCACTAAGCTTCTAAGTGAAGTCGTATGGGGGGAAGAAAGTCTATAGGTATCTTTACCTTCTGAGAATAGAACAGGACAAGCCCCGAGAATGGCAGTGAAGTCAAATTCCTCATCTTCCAGATGACAACCTTAGCTTCAGCCGTTGTGAAAAAGTGGCCTATGAGTTTAAGACCAAGAAAGAATTTTAGGCATGGAAATAAAAGGGAAGAGATTTGCAGTAGAGTTCTCAACCCAGGGCTGATTAGGGTCAGGCTTGTGCTGCTGGGTTCTGGCCCTGGGCTGTGGAGGAAGCAGCTAAAACTCCCTTGAGCCATGGGGCTGAGGATCTGGGAGGAGCCAAAGGCCCTGTCCACGGGGCTTCCTGGCAGGGGCGTCAGGGAAGGAAACTGCTCACACTCCCATGGGCACTGCACCAAGTCCAGAGCCCACAGTCAAGAGTGAAAGACTCACCAGGGCCTTAGGCCTGGGCCTGGTCTCCTGGGGCCGGCTGTCTTCAGCTCTGTCCTCACTGGTCCTGAGTGATTGGTATAGTGATGGAGCCAAAGAGGGAGGAACAGCAAATGTCCCCAGAGTCTTTACTCAGCCAGGTTCTGCTCTGATTAGAATGAAAAGAAGCAATGCTAAATGAGTTAATATGTATGAGTGTTTATATGTGTGCATAAATATATATGTACACATTATATAAGTGCAAATAAATATGTTGTTTTGGATATACATTATATTGATATATCTATTATAAATCAATAGAATGCATACATTTATCCAGGAATAAATATAACTTTGTGGTTATAATACATGACTTTAAATTTTGATAAATTGAGCAGAAACTTTTAAAACCAGCAATGGTGGACCCCTCCATGGCTCCCTCTTCATTGCAGAGCCCAAGAGTGAGAAAACTCAGGCTCTATTCCCATATTCCTGCTGGTCTGAGCAGTGACTTGCCCATTGCTGAGAACTTTGAGTGACCGGAGGGACTCTGAGGAACTGAGCAGCAGTTCCAGGGAGACAGGCAGTGGATTCAGGACATGGGAGAAGAAAATTTGGTGCCCAGAGCTTCCTGTGGGCAGGTCCTCCCCATGGGAGATCCTGTCATAAAGAGAAGCACATGAGGCTCAGTGGCTGTGTGGTTATAAGACGAAGCCCCTCCACAGCCTATGGGCAGCCTTTCCTCTGACTGGAGCCACGTGGAACCTCTCGGCCCAGCTTTCGTGGCTCACACGGCTGCTGGAATCCTGTTCACAATGAGGTTCCTTAGTCAGCTTGGCTGCTGATGGCCAGAGTGATGTCTGTCCAGGAGCTGGACCCTGACTCAGTCAGGCATTGTGTCTACAGGGAACCGGGAGCCAACAGGAGCTCGGAGCTGGGCCTGTTTTCTGCTGGAGTCAAGCTATAATAGAACACTGTTAACACTCTGGCTGTTCCCATAGGTAACGGTGACCTCTGTGGGGACATAGGAAAAGGGGTAGGAGACAGGGTGCATGCAATGTACCCACTGCCATCTAAGTGGGGAACAAATCTGAATATCCCCAAGTATTAATACCAAGCAAGTATTCATTCAGTTTGATGAAGTTCTGATTAGAAAGCAAAACAGACTAACTACTTAATCTTCAAGGAGACGTTCTAGTACAATATGCAAACAGGATGAAGCCTCCACCTTCCTTCCTCACTAGAGAATCAGATAGCAGGAGAAACAGGAACAAAGCTGGGTATCTGTGCCCATGGGGAGCCTCCAGAGGCTGATTCTGCACGGAGCTGGCAAGGATGGTGTAGGAGTCCGCTGGGACTCCCACACCAAAATGGATATGGCTGGATGGTTTAAACCACAGAAATTAATTTTATGTTTCTGGTGGCTGGAAATTCCAAGATCAAAGTCCAACAGGTTTCACTTTCTGGTAAGGATCTTCTTCCTGGTTTGGAGATAGCCACCTTGGGTAGAAAGTAGGGTTAGGGCAAGAGAGGAGAAAGAGAGAGAAAAGGAGAGCTCTCTGGTTTTCTATTCTTAACAAAACACTGATTCTATTAGATCACAGTCCCATCCTTTTGTCATCATTTAGCCTCAGTTTCCTCAATCTCCATCTCCTATAGCTACATAAGGGGAATAGTGCCAGGCTTGAATTCTCAGAGCACAGAGCACAGAGGGGTTTCCCCAAAACAACACACTGGAAACTCCTCCTGTGTGCTCCAGGTCACACATGAGACCCCATTTCAGCCTTAAGGGGCTCCATGTTGATGATCAGACATTACCACCCTTACAATGTAAGTTAATATTTTTAGATCATGGCAATCTCTTTGGTTTATTGTGGGACTTGTTTGCCATCTACAGGCAGGTCTTTGACATAGCAATATTTAGTATTGATTTTTGTGATCATGAAAATTAATTATTAAACATAATAATAAACTAAGCTTAATACATTGATTGTTAAAAAAAAAAAAGGCTATTGAAGGGCTTCAAATGAGTGTAAAGGGATAAAAAGACAGAGTCCTTCCAAAGGAGGAGTGTTTGTCACAGATGAATCTTTTTTTATCAGTAATTTTTATCAGTAATTCTCAATGGTAAATGGCAACTTCAGATAGACTGCCACAAATATAATCATACATTAAAAAATTATTTCCAGGAATCATGTAAATACATTTTCAGATTAAAAAACAAGAAGGCTGAGTTTTTCACCAGATTCACTTGGTGAAAAATTTCACAAACCTGTGCTTTACACAAAAGAACATTTATCCCTGGTGGAAAGCTGGAGTTTTCTTTGGTCTTTATAAGAAAACAGCTTTCCCTTCACTCTGCTCCACCTCATGCTGCTGAGGAATGGACATGGAGACAGTGACTGTGACGAAGGAGGAGAACTGTGCTGAGTGTGGTCATGCCTCCTGCCCACCTGAGTGACCTCACGGAGCAGAGCCATCGACACCACCAAAGCCACCTGCCGGTCTCTGCATTGCTATGGCACAGACAGAGAAACTCCATCACATTTAGTCCACCATATTTTGAAGCTTCTTTGTAATACATTTGATTATGCTCTGATTCTCCTTGTATCCCTTTCAGTATTTGGAATCATTCATTTATCACCATTTCAACTTGAAACTATAGCCCCTCGGGATATCAACACCATGTAGGCTGTACGTTTGTTTGTTTTTTAAAAGTGTCCAACCACCTTGAGTTGTTTGGGCCTTATCCCCTGTCTCACATCAAAGCAGAATCTTAGGTCATTAGGTGTCGTCAGTCACTTGATGGCGAAAGACGATGATGCCACTTCTTAGCTCCTGCTCCTGCTACTTACGCTTCTCCCTGAATTTTGTAACAACTTTTAAGCTCTGTGATGCATTACTTAGTATTTTAAACAGTGTATTAAGTATCTTATGTTTTTTATTTTCACAGCTCCAGTCTGCTTGAATTCTACATAAATATTGTCATGTCTACTAAACCCAACAAAAATGGCACTTCAGAATTTTAATTGCACTTGCCATGAAATTCATTATGTTGGAGTAGAAAATCATCCCAAATATACTTTAAATCTTAAACCTGAAGTAGGATCTTCTTGTTCTGTTGCTCTAATCACTTTGTGTCTAACACGCAATATTGTGGTATGTAACTGACATGACGGATCATTACGTTTGATAAAACACTATTTTGCATAAAATCTATTGAAAGAATAAATTTTCTGTTTTTACAACTAAAACACAAGATCCAGATTCATTTTCTGGTAAGGATGATGTCATATGTAAATAATACATTTTTGTAATATTTGAAACCTTTTATTATACGATACAGTACTAAATTTATCATCCCTAAATAGTACTTGGAATAAACACTTTTACACTTAGAATTTGCTTTAGGGGAAAAACAAACCCTCTCATCTATTTCTGCATTTTTTCCTGTGGCATATTTAGTAAACTCTGTGTTCTCTATCTTTTCAGTTTATGCTGCTTTTTTTTTTTTTTGAGACAGAACTACACCTTGCAGCTCAGACTGGAGTGCAATGTGCTATCTCGGCTCACTACAACCTCTGCCTCCCAGGTACAAGCAATTTTCCTGCTCCAGCCTCCCAAGTAGTTGGGATTACAGGTGAATGCCATCACACCCTAGCTAATTTTGTATTTCCTGTAGAGACCCAGTTTCACCATGTTGGTCAGGCTGGTCTTGAACTCCTGACTTCAGGTGATCCACCCACCTCCGCCTTCTGAAGTGCTGGAAATACAGGCAGGAGCCACTGCACCCAGCCAATGCTGCTTATTTTGGAAGCTCACTTTTGGAGTTGTAAGAACTCCCTCCTCGCTGGGAAAAAAGGAATAGAGACAAATTAGTGTCTCTTGACATTAAGATCTTACATCTGCCATGGATTAACAAATCTAAGAACAGTCAGAAATCATTTTTACTAATTATTCATATCCATACTCCCCCTGAGGACAGCTTGTAGAGAACACGTTCTCCAACACGACTGTGGAAAGTGCGGTTTAGCGTGAGTGGTAAAGGGAAATAGAAAGTAAGGAAAGTGGGGAAATAATTCCAAGTATTATCACCAAGTATTAATTTGTATAAAATAAACCCCACACCGGTCACTTTCCACATGTATTCCACTTGTGTTGTCACTAAACTGCACCTATGTTCCAGCTGTTATGCTGACTGAATGTACCTGGCAATCGTGAGCAAGACAGGCAGGGTGAGGATGAGGCTGGCAACTAATGGAGCTTTGACCACATGGGACTGAGGTGCCGCTGAGACTCTCATGGGCCAGATTCCTCAATAGCAAACTCTGCCCCTGAGTTCTCCAACAGCTTTCTCTTCTGCAGACTCAAGAGACCCTGCTGAGCTACTCCCCAGACAAGTGGCACATGTAAGCAGCTGGGACACCCCAGCAGGGAGGTTTCTGTTTGGGGCTGTACCACTGTGGGAGGAAACCATGTACTTTGCATGCAGTAATAAACCCCAATATCTTCAGCCTTCACCCGGCTGATTTTCAGTGTGAAATCTGTCCCTGACCCACTGCCGCTGAACCTGTCTGAGACCCCAGAGGCCCTGTTGGAAACTTTATAGATTAGAAGCTGTGGAGACTGGCCTGGCTTCTGCAGGTACCAGTGCAAATAGGTGTTTCCATTACTATGCAGGAGGCTCTGACTAGACCTGCAGGAGATGGAGGCTGGTTCTCCAAGGGTGACGGGCAGGGAGAGTGGAGTCTGGGTCATCACAGTATCCCCACTGGATCCTGAAATTATGAGAGAGAAGTGCAAGGTTATATACAAGCATTATGAGCAACTTTCGAGATTTTCCTTATGGTGTTGATTTATGGTTAATCTTTTATTTTTACAAGTTTTTATTCTTTTTTAATTCATATCATAAAAACAAACTTTTAAAATGAACCCTTTATTAAATGGGCACAAGAGCTCCTTTACTTCTCAAGATATTATTCAGAACACTGCTTTTAGTAGGTTTCTTTTCTAATCTTTGTCAGGGAAAATTATAAATTCCCTTTACTGGAGCGTAGGCCATGGTCCTCCAACTCATGGTTAGAATAAACATGGGAAGCAGTGGGGCCACCAGAGCTCACCCTCCCATCCCATTCTCCTCCCTCATCTCTTTCTGTCCTTACCAGGGACCCAGAGCATTAGCAGACCCAGGAGCTGAGCACAGAGCCTCATCGTGAGAAGGTGCGCTGAGGAATCCTGATCAGTCAAGACAAGGTTGGAGCTGAGCTTTTATCTCGGACTCACAAGGGGAGGTCCTCCCTTGGGGACAATATGCAAATCCCCTGGTGGGTGCAGTGGTGTGGAAAGAGCCACTGAGTGGGAGGCGAAGGGAGGTATACGTGTCTCCTCTATGAGCAATGTGATATAAAGTGTCCCTTGATTAAAAACTAATAGAGATAAAGTCTAATTTACCAGTAGCAGTGGGAAGAAGGATCTGAATTTGAAAGTTTGCATCTTGGGCAAGTAACATTTTATAGGATGTCAGGGCTTCCAAGTTTTTGCCAACTCTGAGTGTGAACCTGTGTCTTCCCTGAGCCTGTATGTGGCACAGCCACAACCATGAGACCTCGGTTCAAAAGGAGATTCTCTATGTAGGAAGAGCAAGAACTGAATCCACAGCTTTAAGTCTCAGGATCAGCAGTACCATGGATGACATTTTCCTAGGTTTTTACTGAAAGATGGTAACAACTCAGGAATATGAATCTACCATACAGCTGATCGTTACAATAGGAAAGCAACCTGAGTATTCTTTATTTGTCAGTCATGTAATTAATATTGAATTTAGTGGCTCCTGAATAATGGTGTATACATCAAATCACTTCACAAGGACTGTCGCTGTCCTGAAAAGAAACAACAAAAATCCCAGGAGCAATTAAAAGAATAGTTTCTAGTACTATGTAATCTTCAATGATTTAATACAAAGTCTTATTTACTGAGTAAAGAAAATATATACAGGGAAAAACAAAATAGAGTTCCAGGTATTATTATTCCACAAGAAAGCTTTTCCTGATTATCTTCTGGGAAATGCACTGGCATAACATATTTTAACAAAGTTGGTAAAAAGAAATTGAGTAAAAATGCTATTAGCCTTAAAATGTTGAATTCATGGCACTAAATTGAATTGAGAATATCAAATTGTAGTGCAGAAGCAGAATTAGATCAAACATATCATATTTCACTATTTAAATTTTTATTTATTTTCTTTCATTATTTTTGATAAATCTTATGTATTTGAATTTTTTTGTTTGTTTGTTTTTTAGACAGAATCTTGCTCTGTCACTCAGGCTGGAGTGTAGTGTCGCAATCTCTGCTCACTGTAATCGGCAGCCTCCGCCTCCCAGTTTCAAGTGATTCTCAGTCCTTTGGAATTGATGGGACTATAGGTGCTCTCCGCCATGCCCAACTAATTTTTGTATTTTTAGTAGAGACGAGGTTTTCACTTGTTGGCCAAGCTGGTCTTGAACTCTTGGCCTCAAGCAGTCTTCCTGCCTTGGCATTCCAAAGTGCTGGGGTTACAAGTGTGAGCCACTGTGCCTGGCATTGACTTCTTTTTCTTGTGATGCTGACCAGTTCAAATATGGTTTTTAGTTTTGAAAATGCCAAACTCCTAATTCAAAGAGTCAGAAACATCAAATGCTGAAAAGAAATATAAAAGAAACCCCACAAAAGAAACACACAATCTAAAAGAGAACATTGTGGTACATCTTATCACTGGTATAAATGAATTGGTATGAAAGGTTATTAAATGAATAAACAGTTCCACCAACTATCCTGTATGGAAACTTACACTGTAGTAAAATGAATAATAGTCATAAATCTGTCAGGTTTGTTTTTACTATTAGTCAATTCATCAAAGTCTTATTTTTACAAAGTATTCTTTAAAGTGCTAAATTTTAGAGAGTACTGCTGTTTTCTTTGAAAATTAATAACAAAGCTTTAAAAAGTTTACCATTGGGATTCGTTGTTTTTGCTCATAATCTGTTCTCATTACATATCTGAAAATGTAAAACCTTCACCACATGTTCACTCATAGGTGGGTGTTGAACAGTGAGAACACATGGTCACAGGGAGGGCAGCATCACACATGGGGTCTGTTGGGGGTGGCTAAGAGTGGGGCAGTGGTGTTTGGGGGAGGCTGGGGAAGAAAAACATGGGGAGAAATGCCAGATACAGGTGACGGGCGGATGGAGGCAGCAAACCACTTTGCCATGTACATACCTATGCAACAATCCTGCATGATCTGTACATGTATGCCATCCCAAAGTAAAATGTAAAAAAAAATTTCAGTCATAAAAAGGCTCTGAAATTACCCTATACTAAAGGCTCTGAAATTATTATATACTGTTAAACTTAAAGAATAATATTCTTAATTCTAAACAGAAATCTCTGTCTAGCAGGCCTCTGTATTTCTCTAATCTGGACCATTAGGAAGGACTGATACAGGTGGAGTTTATTGCAGTTGCATCTCACGTGCCTGATGCTATTTGTTTGGAGTCCATAAAATTGAAAGCAAGTGTATTATTTGTATGACTTGAGAAGACAGCCTCAGGAGTGGAATTGTGTCCATTATGCTGGAATCAGTGTTTGTGGGGTGGGGAGTGTGGTCCTGTTTATAGAGAGTTTGAGAAGTTGGGGTTCTGACCAAAGAGAAAGAGATGTCCATAGGGTGGCAGTAGCACACAGGACTGTTGTTGGGTGAAGCTTTGACAGATTTGCCCAAAGGAGTCTCTCACAGCAGGAGACTGTCTGGAAGCGAAGGTGTCAGGTTGCTTCTCAGAAAAGGTGAAGAGCAAGGGAATGCCTAAGATAAAGGAATGCTGGAGAAGGAGCTTCTGTGTCTAGGGGTAACCAGACAACAGCTTAGTGGGGAGTCTGTAGATCAGAGAATTCCAGAGGGCAGTAGCGGTTTGCAGTTTTCATAACCTGGTGTTTGTCTTCCCTATTGCTAGCAGATGTGGGTGAGGTTTTCTGTGGTATGAAAAGCAAGCATTCTCTAAATGGCTAAAAATCTTCTTTGAGTTGTTTTTGAAATGATTGGATTGGGAAACTTGAGTTTGGCACAGGCCATTTAGAAATAACCTGCAGCTTAGAAACACACAACATAGGGGCAGTTCACACTGGCCATCTTTAGCTCATCTATGCAATACTGTTATGCATTCTGTAGACTTTGTTCTGCAGACTGTACTAGTCCAAACAGGCCAACTGACATGCTCTGGAGGCGATTGAGACATACAGAGGCCTGTTGTACACCTGGACTTCAGTGGAGGTTTTTCCTTACTAAAAGTGAGAGTTTGCTCCTGAGTAAAAATTAAGACCAAGTCGTCTGCAAAGAGAGCTTCTCTCTGTGAAGTTGCAGGTCCTGCGACTGAATTCCTTGTTCCATACTGAAGCTGTCTGGATTATCTCACTAACTGCAAATTGTCATCCACTGGGGCATACATTCATAAATAAATATTCTGGTGCACAGAGAGCTCAGGGAATGAAGGTTTCATGTATGTCTGTATCTTGTGCTTCTGAGAATTTCTCTCTCTAAAAACTGGATAAAACAGGGTTGTTTATGCTTGACATGTAAGGCAATATGTAACATGTTTCTGAGTCTTCAGACCCTCTAAACCTGCCAAATCTGAATCTGTTTTCAAACATTTATTTGTCTTTCCTTTTTCTTGGGGGTAAAAAAAAAGAGAGAAAATCTTATAAAATGACAGACTGCACCATGAGATTTAGTGCTGGATTTTTTTTTTTTTTTGATGCATGTTAATCTTTCTACAGAACCCACCTGACCAAACATCACTACAAAAATTGAAGCAATAATTCCATTGCCTCTCTGAGCCTTCTGCATCTGATAAGCTCCCTTGAAACTCTCACCCTTATAGAAAGGGGCTTCTGTCACTGAAGGAGATAGAGACACAAAAAAATCCTTCAAAAAATCAATAAATCCAGGAGCTTGTTTTTTGAAAAGATCAACAAAATAGACAGACCACTGGCCAGATTAATAAAAAAGAAAAGAGAGAATAACCAAATAGACACAATAAAAAACGATAAAGGGGATATCACCACAGATTCCACAGAAATTCAAACCATCATCAGAGATTATTACAAACAACTCTATGCACATAAACTAGTAAATCTGGAAGATATGGATAAATTCCTGGACACTTGCCTCCTCCCAAGCCTAAACAAGGAAGAAGTTGAAACCCTGAATAGACCAGTAACAAGGTCTGAAGTTGAGGCAGGAACTAAGAGCCTACCACCCAAAAAAAGCCCAGGTCCAGATGGGTTCACAGCCAAATTCTACCAGACATACAAAGAGGAGCTGATACCATTCCTTCTGAAACTATTACAAACAATCCAAAAAGAGGGAACCCTTCCCAAATCATTTTATGAGACCAACATCATCCTGATACCAAAATCCGTCAGAGACTCAATAAGAAAAGAAAACTTCAGGCCAATATCCATGATGAACATAGACGCAAAAATCTTCAATAAAATACTGGCAAGCCGGTTGCAATGACACATCAAAAAGCTTATCCACCATGATCAAGTAGGATTCATCCCGGGGATGCAAGGCTGGTTCAACATACACAAGTCTATAAATATAATTCATCACATAAACAGAACCAAAGACAAAAACCACGTGATTATCTCAATTGATGCAGAGAAGGCCTTCGACAAAATTCAACAGCCCTTTATGCTAAAAACCCTCAATAAACTAGGTATTAATGGAACGTATCTCAAAATAATAAAAGCTATTTACGACAAACCAACAGCCAATATCATACTGAATGGGCAAAAACTGGAAGCATTCCCTTTGAAATCTGGCACTAGACAAGGATGTCCTCTCTCACCACTCCTATTTGATATAGTACTGGAAGTTCTAGCCAGAGCAATCAGGCAAGAAAAAGAAATAAAGGATATTCAAATAGGAAAGGAGAAAGTCAAATTGTCTCCATTTGCAGACAACATGATTGTATATGTAGAAGACCCCATCATTTCAGCCCCAAATCTCCTGAAACTGATAAGCAACTTCAGCAAAGTCTCAGGATACAAAATCAACATGCAAAAATTACAGGCGTTTCTATACACCAATAACAGACTTAAAGAGAGCCAAATCAAGAACGAACTGCCATTCACAATTGCTACAAAGAGCATAAAATACCTAGGATTACAACTAACAAGGAATGTAAAG